CGCACATCCACACGCACACATAGGCACCCACCACCTCGCACACACGTAGGAAAAGAGTTATATGATTTTTTTTTAAATTATTATTATAGAGATCTTATTTTATTTTTTAATTTTTTTTTTTTTTTAATTCCTCTGTTAATTTGCCTGCTGATTTGGAATCTCAGTAGTAATGGAGGGGCAGAGGAGATTCTGGACGGAGTGGAGGCTATCATTTTTCAAAGAGGGAAGTTACTCCATTTTCTATGCAAATGACAGAAATGCAAGAAGCTCTCCCAAGTCAGAGAGGCAATCGACGGCTATCAGGTTGGGACAATATTTGTCAGCTAACAGATAAGCAAACGCTGTCTCTCTCTCCCTATATATGTTACTTGTACCACAGAAATGGACGTCAAAAGGTAAGGGAATAATATCTGTTTCTTTTCATTTATTTTTTTTTTTTCTTTGAGAAAATGCATTTGTCAAGCTGCCTTTTCTATTCCATTCCCCATCTCCCTTTCCCCTCTACCCAGGGGGGGGGAAGAAATAGAAAGAAAAGGGTGGGGTGATGAAGAAGGGAGGCACGGGAAGAAATCAGGGGTGGTGGAAATCTGTTTAAGTGACAGTTTCCCCCCCAAAAAAAAAGTGTAGCGTAAAGGTAGAGGGGAAGAGAGAAGGGGAAAGAGAAGGAAGGATGGGGAAGAGGTTAAGGAAGAAATCGAGAGGAGGAAAGAAAGAAATCGAGAAAGAAAAGAGGAAAAATAGAAGAAAGAAAGAAAGAGAGAAAGAGATTGAGAAAGGAACAGAGGAAGAAAATAAGAAAGGAAATGCGAAAGAAAAAATAAAATGAGGGAATAAGAAGGAAAAATAAAGCCTGTGAGGTCACCTGGAGGTAGTAGACTTGGAATGAAGGATTTTGCAGTAGCTCGGTGACGGAGGCTTTTAGACACTGCCTTTAAAAAAATACCAAACCCTTTGTGGGTAGTTGTGGTGTTTTATTTATTTTTTTCCCCCCTCGCAGCATCTCTTGCCAGTTTGCCTGTCTTCAGGCGAGCCCAGTAATTTGGCGAAGTTTGTGTGGAAGCCAGTTGGGTTTTGCGTTGCTCTCCAGGGTCATTATTATGTGGGTGGTTTCTTCGGAGAGGGCAGTTCGCGACAGTCCTCGGAAATAAGGTTCTGGAAATTAGTTAAAAAGAAAAAAACAAAGAAAGGAGAGGGGGGCGTTTGAAAAAAAAAATATATTAAGGAAAAAAATGATTAAAAAAAAATAATAAGAATGAAGCCAACGCAGCGCCCTCATTGTTCCCCCCCCCTCCCCGTGAAACTCCCAAATGAAGCTGACGTTACGATGCAATAAAGCTCCTTGGATTTAATTGCGTTCTGCAGTGTTAACGGGGCTTTTACGGCTTTCCCGGCCGGAACACCGGCTTGGGTTTCACCCACGGTGTCTCGGGGCTTTGCCACACCAGGTTCTGTGCAAACCTCCCTCTCCAAACCTTCCCTGATACCCTCCCGCTTTCCTTCGGGTTTGGGAAAATATTTATCCGGAGATGTCCGTCATTTAAAATGTGGGTTTTGGTGTGGGTTTTTTTTGTTGTTTGTTTAATTTCAAGGAGAATGTATTTGAATTATAGTTCTAATTGCTACTGTTACGAGGTGATTTTTAATAAGATAATGTAAGAGCCTGTGTATGCGAAGCGAGATTGAGTAAGAAGAGATTCATTCCTTAAGCATAAACCGTTTTATGACGCGACGATTTATCTCACCTAAACTGACTGTGCCTGAATATTGTGTGGACAAGAGTAAATGCTCGTGAGCCGCGGAAATAATAAACAGAAAGTCATATTTAAAAGCTGTTTCTTCCCGAACCTGTTACATTTTTCATAAATCACGAAGGGGGGGAAAAATTAATGTCGGTTCAAACGCCTGTTCTCGCTTTTTCCTAAGTCTCTTCGCGCTCGG